CGCATAGCAATGTGGATTCTCAACAAAATTTGATGGTTTATTTTTCCGTTTAAAATTCACAATAGACAAAGTTAGAAAATTGTGTGCATATGAAACCTTTCTGTTACCTCCTCAGGGTCATAATTCTTTCATTTCTCTCCAAACATGCATACTCAATGATTTTAGTAGTTACTACTAGATGATTGTTAAACTCATCCAGAGGTGCATCATTCCAACCATCTAATCAGTTGTGTTGTTCTATTAATATTCTTTGGACAAGTTCAATTAAAGTCGGTGTTACAGACACCCTATTAACATGTGGTTTGGCGTTTCGGCGTGTCTAAGTTTGAAGTTATTATGCTTTTAATTGTGTGTAAATGGGGTTGATTGTTAACAAGAGAGGGCACACCCATCTTCCACTAAGGGGGTGCTACCGTATTAGGATGACCATTATTGTGTAAGGAGTCTAATCATGTACTTAAACAACATTTGTTACTGGTGGTCAATATAGTATTCAAAGGTATTTTAAAGATATACCAGCATCAGAACCCGAGCTAGTTTTGGGTGAGCACGAGAATTGGCATACCTCTCTTAGTGGTTGACTATTGCAATTGAATCCCCAAACTGAATCAATATCATCATTACGTCAAAGGGTTCCCCCAATTGGTTCATCAAAATTTTTGTCTCCAGAAAAACAGACTCACATCACCACGATCACTACAATGCAAGATTAAATTTAAATTAGACAGTCAATGTAGAGCTTATATGACCACTTGAACAATCCTAACTTAAAGAGCTAGCTTTTGTGGTTAAGGTAGCTCTGACCTAATTGAAAACAGAATTTTGCGAGACAACCTTATTATGTTTGGTGGTCTTCCTCCACAATTTAATTTTACTGTATTTCTTTCTTTATTTCACTCATCAACTTCGACTATGAGTTGTAGGCGGTGTTTATTATTGTTGAATAGAAGAAAAAGCTTGAGACGTGATTGATTGTGCTCATTAGAGTGTATTAGTATACACTCTGGGTAATAGTTAAACAGGAAATGATTGTCTAATCACCGATAATCAAGGATATTTAACAATTTTAAACAATTGCCTAATTACCATAATTAAAGATATCAAAGGAAATTTCAATTGAGGGATCGACTCTTGGTTGTGTCGAATAAATGTCCAATACCTGGATAGCGGATTAGAGGCATGAAAGGTTGATTTTTAGTCCAAGACTTTTGTTATGTTACAAGCCTATTAGGATACTCACTATTTATTGCCTAAGGTGAACGGTTCGACTGCAAATTGACCTTGGTGGCTAACGTAATTTGTAAGGAAATCTTCTGTTGACACTTCCATTTTATACACATCCTTTATATTATGTAAATTACAACGTCCTTTCTCACTAGAGTTTACATTGGACTTCGTGTGCACCCTATCATAGGATTTTTCTAGATCTGTGAAGATTGGGCTGGTCTTTTGTGTCCTTTTATTGATTATAATCAACCCCAGCATTAGTCGGCCTCCATGTGTTTATTGAGAATATGAATTGGATGTAGGAGATGTGAATAGTTAAATTGCATTTTACTTGAGGGAATATGAAGACATGATGATTTGGTGTACGAATTCAGAGTTTGTACAGGATTTTATGATTGTCATAAAATCAAAGGGATAAATATTGAAGCTAGTTTGCAGAGGATTTGATGGGATCGGAAGAGGAAGCATTGTATAATCTTAATGAGCTTAGATATGCTGCCCTAAGGTACATAAATTGAATATAATCGAGGAATGATGAAAAACAGCATAATTATACCTTATTCTTCCGGACCCCCTCCTTGTGTTAATGTACAAGTTTTAGTTGCTTCAGCTTGTTTAAGCAATGGTTATTTTTACTGTAGCAGTCTACCAATTACTTTTGGAAAATTGTTTACAGGAGAGAGATTTTGAGGGAGCTGGAGACAACTATTTCTTTGATTCTGGAGAACTGGGCTTAAACCCCATCAAAACAGGTTCACCACAGGTTGGTGATCCTGTCCAGAGGAACAGTGGATTCAATTTTGATGATTCTGTTCCAAGCACGCCACTTTTCAACTCTAGTAGCTCTCCGCAAAGGCCAAAAGAGTGGTTGGAAACTGCTTTTGACTTCTCAAGATTTGATTCTTTCAGAANTTTGTAAGGAAATCTTCTGTTGACACTTCCATTTTATACACATCCTTTATATTATGTAAATTACAACGTCCTTTCTCACTAGAGTTTACATTGGACTTCGTGTGCACCCTATCATAGGATTTTTCTAGATCTGTGAAGATTGGGCTGGTCTTTTGTGTCCTTTTATTGATTATAATCAACCCCAGCATTAGTCGGCCTCCATGTGTTTATTGAGAATATGAATTGGATGTAGGAGATGTGAATAGTTAAATTGCATTTTACTTGAGGGAATATGAAGACATGATGATTTGGTGTACGAATTCAGAGTTTGTACAGGATTTTATGATTGTCATAAAATCAAAGGGATAAATATTGAAGCTAGTTTGCAGAGGATTTGATGGGATCGGAAGAGGAAGCATTGTATAATCTTAATGAGCTTAGATATGCTGCCCTAAGGTACATAAATTGAATATAATCGAGGAATGATGAAAAACAGCATAATTATACCTTATTCTTCCGGACCCCCTCCTTGTGTTAATGTACAAGTTTTAGTTGCTTCAGCTTGTTTAAGCAATGGTTATTTTTACTGTAGCAGTCTACCAATTACTTTTGGAAAATTGTTTACAGGAGAGAGATTTTGAGGGAGCTGGAGACAACTATTTCTTTGATTCTGGAGAACTGGGCTTAAACCCCATCAAAACAGGTTCACCACAGGTTGGTGATCCTGTCCAGAGGAACAGTGGATTCAATTTTGATGATTCTGTTCCAAGCACGCCACTTTTCAACTCTAGTAGCTCTCCGCAAAGGCCAAAAGAGTGGTTGGAAACTGCTTTTGACTTCTCAAGATTTGATTCTTTCAGAACACATGACAGTGTACCTCTGCCTGCTAGGGAGGCGACAGAACAATTTGATTCAGTACGCAACAGTGTGGATTTTGATCATGTTCATGGATTTCCAGCATTTGATGACTCCGATCTCTTCGGCTCTGGGCCGTTTAGGACTTCATCGGATAGTCAAACTCCCAGAAAAGAATCTGATAGTTGGAGCGCATTTTAGCTTAGCAATTTCACACAATGCATTATTTGTAGTTTTGGTGGAGTGGGTTGTCTGTTAGTCTTACTATTTGGACCTGTTATAAGTGTAATGTATTTTCTTTATTTTATCCTGTGTATTCTTTGTTCCTCACTTTTTTTCTTTGGGGAAGGGCGCGGCATTGTCTCCACTCCAGCAATCTCACTTCCCTTAATTGAAACTGAAGGCCTGTCTATATTTTTGGTTTGTTGGTTGATACTTTTCCATACTCCTGCACAAGAGATTGTGGTATTGATGACTGTCTCATTTGAGTGATGTTTGCTCAGCGGAATTTTATTATAATTCTTTTTTTTTCATTTGTGAAGTATAACTGCAACCTAATTTGTCCAATTAAATTTAGAGAAATGTACACAGAATACTTTCTCACTATTTTTGTTGTTAACAGATATTTATTTAAATTTGCGTAATTATTTGTCTGAAATTTATTACCATTCCTTTTCTCATCGTAACACCCGACCCGGTCCTGATTTTGCTGCAGGTGTTTATTATTGATTAGTTATCAAATTATGTTGAAGTTGGGTGGAGAATTTTAAATTAATAGGAAATGCAGTGAAATGGATTTGCTGTTTGTTTGCATAACTATTCTAAATTTATCATTTTAAAATATTCTATAATAATTTGTTATGATGAAATAATGTTTCTAAAATAATTTAAAATATTTATTTCTAAAGCGTCAAATTTAAATTTTTTCTGACCGCATTGGCGGAGAGAAGATTCTTAGAATATATCCAGATGGGTTATTTGAAACTAATGACATTTCTTGACTATCTTAATGTAATTAAAGGTGGTAAAACGACTCAGCGTCTCGTTTTCGCGTTCTGACGTGCTTTATCATCGATTAGTTAAAAAGAAGATGGTACGGATTGTGTCAGAAACCCATTAAAAATCTCAAATAGTGAAAGGCAGGTGTCAATAAAAGGGTTCAGATTTTCAGAAAGTGAAAAATAGGTGACTCTAGGAGAGTGGACCAGTCGGTTTTAACAAGAGGTATATAAGTTGAAATTTTGTTCCACTTTCTGCATGCACCTCCTTCTCCAAACTACTGAATCACATCTTCTCCTCATTCTCTCTAGATTTCCTCTACCTTCTTTCTAAGAATCATCATCTTTTTCTTATTCTGATCACCAATCAGGCACCGTTTGAACTTTTCCGGCGTCAAGGGCTTTCATTTAAATCTATCAAGTTTTGTTTTAAACGGGTGAGTACTTCTCTTCTTAGACCGTTCGTTTTTCTGTCACATGCAAACCCAGATTCTGGTTGCATGAGTTTATCATCTCATTCTGAGTATTTCTGGTATTTTGTTGGTTAGTTTCATAAAGCGTGATTGTAGAATTCTAAGATTTCTAGTAGTGTGAGCCACATACTGCATCGTTGAGTGTTCGTCTATGTTTAGAGGTAATAGAAGCTTATATAATTTGATTATGGTTCTTTTTTATGAATGGTTGTATGTTTGTTTTATCATTTGATGAATATGAAGTACGAGTGTTATTGCATGTTTGTTTATATGAGTGGATGATTTATGAATAATATGAATTGGGTTGGTGTAGGGTTTGATTTTGAGTTTACAATATTCTGTGTAATTCTGTGTTGTTATCAAGAGTCATTATTGACTGTTCGATTTATCCTTGGTTATTCGATTTGGACTGGATTTCTTCTTATATGGAGAATTTCAGTTAAAGACCGATCGATTTTCTCTTAGTGTGCTTGTAAGTAAGTATTTGGTCTAAGTATAGTTTCTCTTTATGTTTCATAAACAGTTTAGATAATGTATTCTATAATACTTAAAGTCGTAGATGTTATCTTTATCCTTCATTTTTAGTTAATCTCAATAGTGCTCGGTCTTGAACCAAGCGCTCGGTCTCAGTAGTGCTCGGTCTTTATAGTGATTGGTCTTTAACCAAGCGCTCGGTATTTCTATTATACTCCATTGTTTACTATCTTTGAACTAAGAGTGTTCGGTTCAATTCAATAGTATTCGGTTTAAGCCTGTAGGGTCCGGTTTAAGATCTTAGGTTTCACAAATATTTATCACAATTTCCAGTTAAGTCTAAAATACACTTATTCTTTAGTATTCAATACATTCTTCAAAGTTCTGTCTAGTAAAATCACGTCCTGTAGTAACTGATAAGTAGCCAGTAAACGTCTAAATATTACCACAAGCGTTCGGCTTATAATGAGTCTTATCTAGAATGAACCGTTCGGTTCTATTCTGTGTATAAGTGGAAGACCGCTCGGTCTTATACTAAGTGTTCAGCTGTGTTAGTCTAGAAAGTATTCAAAACGTTTGGTCTTGTCTCTGGGGTGGATGTTATTGTTCGATTTGGTCCGGTTTGATTGTATTATGGTATATGAATGGAATGGTATGGAAATGAAAGAGTATTCCACGGAGGAATATCTCATGAGTGGTTATTGAATGGTAGAGTATGAATGTGGACAAAGCTTAGCTGGCGTTTATCCTGATATTTCGTGATTGTTCATTCTCACGTAGAGAAGAGTAACTCATGTGTGGGAATGGTAGGAGGTCCTAGACCATAAGGTGAACTTGGGCGGAACGGACTAACCTTGGGTGGTAGCTGTTGAGAGTATCCCAGCTATTACATCACCCAGGTACAAAAACGTCGTAGCTACACAGAATTCATACAGTCCGGACAGCCAAAGTCAAGTGATCGGTCATTGCATGCTTTGGCGTATAATTTTAGTTGGAAAAGTATGATTGAATGGTTGTATGATTGTCTTATTGATGCATATCAGATTTATGTGAAATATATGTTTTATTGAATTAATTAAATTACATAAGCTTACCCTATTTTCGTTTTGTCTGTATTGTCCGATCGGTTGGATTGGTCCTGTGAATATTCTATGGTATGGTTTATATTGTATTTCTGGAATGTTACAGATTGAGATGGCCAATTGTATAAAAACATACTTAATTATATCAATATTTTTAATTTTGTATTATTTAATTAAATTTTTAATAGAATAAATTTAAATAATTATTATATTTATATGTTAATTTATTTTATTATAATTAATGATTAAAACTTAATTTATAATTATTATTGATTTAAGTTACAATATATATTTGTATATTTAAAATAATATAATGTAAAATATTAAATTATTTTTTATTTTCATTTTGAAAAAAAAACATTTATTTAGTTTTTTTTTTGTCAATTTGACGTGCTAACAAAGTGAGTTAAAATAAATTAATGGATTGAAATATCTAATTTGAACCATCAAATTTTAATATGCAAACAAAAAACAAGATAATAAGTCTTTTATCAGCATATAAAAATTAAGTAAAGACAATTGTAAGATTGGTTTTATAACAACTTAATGGAGGTCATTATTTCCATGTCAAATTACTGATTAAGAGAAACAAATTCGACTGACTCTACAACTTATGATTATATTGTAAATTCTAGACTTGTATTAATCTTTTTAAATTTATGAAAGTATTACGAAATGATCAATCAGTGATTCTAGATTGCATTGATATATTCTATATTTGCAAATTCACTCCATTATAATCACATGACCTATGAACACTTCTAAATTCCTCTTGGCATGATGAACTTATCCACTTTACAAGGCATGGACATGCGTGGTACAGATATGCCATTTGTGAAAGGTGTCCAGATAGGAAGAAAAAATATTGTTGTAGAAGAAAGCGTATAATTCACACGAGTAGTGCGTTAGTTAATGAGCACTGCATCATAGATTAGACAGACAAGACCATGTCATACAATAAACTCTGACAAAAGCACTTCGACGTTGAAATTGCCATAGATGAAACGTCACAATCTGATGTGCTCATTTCGCATTTTGAACTCATGTCAAAATGGCGCTGTGCTCTGACTCCCACTTGGTACCATGTGAGCACAAACTATGGTGGTAGAGTGGTCCACCTCCACCTCCACCTCCGCTTTCTGCTTTAACTGTCTCCCGCTATAATTATAATAACGCATGTCTCTCTTCGCCATCTTCAGCCCTTTTTCATAAGTACATGAATGTGCAGCTTGCCTATCGTAGGTTCTTCATGAATCTGCTATTCCTTGCATTCACATTGATCCTATTACATGGATCATCAACAGCAAGAGAAGAAGCTTCCCGACATGATGACGATGATGTCGTCAATATCGGTGCCATATTCACATTGCAAACTATAAACGGCAAAGTTTCCAAAATTGCCATCGAAGCAGCTGAGCAAGACGTAAACTCCGACCCCCGCATCCTGGGGGGACGTAGATTGTCCATAAACGTCCATGATTCCAACTTCAGTGGTTTTCTTGGCTTCATTGGGGGTATGGTATCACTGCCTATCACTTGCTTGTTTGATATTCTTGTTTTGATTGTTGGTTGGTGCTGACTGGTGCACTTGATTACAGCCCTCAAGTTCTTGATGACCGACACAGTGGCTATAATCGGTCCACAAACCTCAGGAATGGCCCATGTGCTTTCGCATCTCGCAAATGAGCTCCATGTTCCCCTACTCTCCTTCACCGCTCTGGATTCCACCCTAACACCTCTCCAGTATCCTTATTTTGTCCAAACAGCGCCCAGCGATCAGTTCCAGATGACTGCAATTGCGGACATGATTAGTAATTATGGTTGGAGAGAAGTCATAGCAATATTCAGTGATGATGATCCGAGTCGAAATGGGGTAACTGTTCTGGGGGATAAACTTGCAGAAAGGGGTTGTAAGGTATCTTACAAAGCAGCACTGCCTCCTGATCCAACCGCCACTCCAAGCTTTATTATCAGCCAGTTAGTGAAGATTAAGAGCATGGAGTCTCGAATAATCGTTTTACACACCTTCGCCAAAACTGGTCTCCTGGTTTTTGACCTGGCTCAAAAACAAGGAATGATGTCCAAAGGGTATGTTTGGATAGCTACTGCATGGTTATCGACTGTTTTAGATTCATCTGCTTCAAACACTTCTAACTCAATTCTAGGAGTTCTTACCCTTCGCCCTCACACCCCTCAATCCTTAAAAAAACAGGCATTTATCTCAAGGTGGAAACACTTAAGTAATGGCTCAATTGGGTTAAATCCATACGGACTCTATGCCTATGATTCTGTGTGGATGATTGCTCGGGCACTGAACTTATTCTTTGATCAGAAAGGAAGGGTTTCTTTTTCTAACAAAAATTTAAGTAGTACGGGGGAAGAGACTCTGGATCTGGGTGCTTTGAGCATTTTTGATGGAGGGAAGCAACTACTTGATAACATATTGCGCATTAATATGACTGGATTGACTGGACCTATTCACTTTGGTTCAGATAGATCTCCTCCACATCCATCATTTGATATCATTAATGTAATTGCCACAGGTTTTCGGAGCATCGGTTACTGGTCTAATTACTCTGGGCTCTCCGTAATCACCCCAGAGAAACTTCAGTTGAAGCCTGCCAATCGTTCAATTTCAAACCAGCATCTAAAGCCTGTCATATGGCCTGGAAATACCATAGAAAGGCCTCGTGGATGGGTTTTCCCAAATAATGGGAGGCAACTGAGAATTGGAGTTCCCAACAGAGTTAGTTATAGAGACATAGTCTCACAAATAAATGCCTCCAATGCAGTTCAAGGATATTGCATAGAGATATTCCGAGCTGCCATAAAACTTCTTCCATATGCAGTTCAGTATAAGTTCGTTCTGTTTGGAGATGGAAAAAATAACCCAAGCTACTATGATCTTGTCAACATGATTACTCTTGATGTAATGCAACCAATACCCAAAATAAATTACATTCCTTCCATTACAGAGTACAAACATACTAATTTTCATGCTTTTATTGATTTTATTTCGCTTGCATCTACAGGTTTTCGATGTTGCTGTAGGTGACATTGCTATTGTCACTGACCGAACAAAGATTGTGGATTTTACTCAGCCATATATAGAGTCGGGGCTAGTTGTGGTTGCTCCGGTAAACAAATTGAAGTCGCATGCTTGGGCTTTCTTGCGACCATTTACTCCAATGATGTGGGGTGTCACTGCATTTTTTTTCCTTTTTGTTGGAACAGTGGTGTGGATTCTTGAACATAGAACGAACGATGACTTTCGGGGGCCGCCAAAGGAACAGATAGTTACAGTTCTTTGGTAAGTACTGAGGAGTTTTCCTATTACTGAACTTTACTTCCCTTCTGAATTGACTCCCTGTAGCTTGTGTATATATATCTTGACATAACTGATCATCTTTGTATGCTGTTGCAGGTTTAGTTTCTCAACCATGTTCTTTGCGCACAGTAAGTCCACCCATTTTGGCAATTGATGTCGTATTCGAGAAACATGTTCTGGTGTATCCTTGTTGGTAGATATTAATAAGCTTCTTCATTATTTCAGGAGAAAACACAGTGAGTCCACTTGGTCGAATTGTGTTGATTATCTGGCTTTTTGTGGTTCTGATAATCAATTCAAGCTACACTGCAAGCTTGACATCAATTCTGACAGTGCAGCAGCTGTCTTCACCCATAACAGGAATCGATAGCTTGATATCCAGCAGTGAACGTATAGGATTCCAAGTAGGCTCGTTTGCTGCAAACTATCTAACCGAGCAACTCAACATCCCCAAACATAGACTTGTTCCTCTTGGCTCGCCAGAAGAATATGCCATTGCCCTTGAAAGAGGAACAGTTGCAGCAGTGGTGGATGAAAGGCCATATGTAGAACTATTCCTTTCAGACCACTGCGAATTCTCAATCAGGGGCCAAGAGTTCACCAAAAGTGGATGGGGATTTGTGAGTATCTTTATAATTGGTATAAAGTGGATTTTATGTTATCTTGATTAATTTATGGCTGTAATAAGTTTCAAGGATTGATTGAATTTCCATACTAATTTGTTGGGTGTGGTGACAGGCATTTCCTAGGGACTCTCCTTTTGCAGTTGATATGTCAACAGCCATTTTAACTTTATCTGAGAATGGTGAACTTCAGAGGATCCATGAAAAGTGGCTTTCAGAAAAGGCTTGTGCTCATCGCAGTAGTGAGAATGAACAACTTCAATTGAATAGCTTCAAGGGCCTGTTTCTAATATGTGGGATAACATGTTTTGTGGCGCTTTTGATATACTTCTTATCAATGCTACACCAGTTCAGTAAAAAATCCCCTATAAAAGCTGGTCCTTCAAATCGTGACAGCTCGCGTTCTGCACGCATCCAAACATTTCTAGATTTTGTGGACGAGAAAGAAGTCGTATCTCCCAGGAAATTAAAAAGAAAACTGGAACATATTTCATCAAATCGTTTGAGGAGCATATCAAAGAGCAGGAGTGAGAGAGTACAGTAATAAGCTGCATCATTCTCATTTTCATCAACATATGTCATTCTCTGTACATATACATAGTTACTTCAAACTTATTCTTTTCTAATTTACTTCTCTTATGTCATCCCACCTCAATTAATTTTCTTCTAAAGCTTTTTTGCTCCAAGCAATGAAAACTATAAAATTAAAACTTCACATTCAAAGAAACAAAACAATATTAGAGTACTGGATGGACTTGCCAACTTGGATTCAACACTACTCAATTTCCAGGCAAATTCTTACTGCACTCCCATAATTTCATAATCCATCTCCATAAATTTCAAATTTTCAGATTTACTCTTTATTTTAGGATTTTCAGTTTGAACATCAATATTTTATTATTATAGAAAGTATAATTCATAATACAAAATAAAATATATATTTTAAAATTTGTATTTTGGACTATCAAATTTATATTTTGAAATATATAATCCAAAAAATGAAAAAATATACGTTTTGTAATGTACATTTCCAAATATAAAATACATTTTAAATTATATAATTCTAATAAAGTAATACATAGAAAGAGTAATTTTATCATTTCTTATGAATATCCAAGAGGAAACCATAGAGGTGTAAGAAAAAAGAGCCCAATTTCCAACATTTTGTCTCAATAGTAACACAAATATTAGTGCTAGTGCTAGTACTGAAATTTGCTACAACATGGATGGATTGCTCCAACATGGATGGATGAAAAAATGATCACAAGAAATTTTTTGTTTAATAAATTTTAATTATTCAACACTTAAAATAGGCCTTTTGAAATAAAAACTTAAATTTCTTATCCAACTAAATAAACACCCATATTTTTATAGTTTTAATTAAGTTTTATTTCAATGGTAGGTTTAAGAATAAACATAATAAATTGTTAACCGGAAATCTAATTCATAATTAATACGATTTTAAGTTTTATTTTTTAAATAACAGATAAAATGCTTTTTGAAAAAGAAAATATATTTCAAAGAAAAGAAACTCTGTATTATTTAACTCTACATCTAATACAAATCATACTACAAACATTCAAATCGATTCAATAATAATTTTGGAAAGGTCCGGCCAAACTACCAACATTTTGTGTCATCCCAGAATAGACTGTGAGTTATTTGTTTTGATTTGTAAAGGAAAATCAAATTTAATTGAAAAACTATTATATTTATAATAATAATAACAATGATAATATAATCTCAATTTGAAAGAGAAAGTGAGATTATATATTTATTATTAAATATAGGTTTGTAAGTGGGAAGAGTGGTGGGAAGAGTGGTGCGAAGAGGAAGTGGAAATGGCGACGGCAACTTACTTCCTGTGTCCGTCTCCGGCGAGTTTCAAAGGCAGTGAGATGCCGATAGCAAGATTCAGATGCTGCAGCAGCAGCAGCGGAAACAGCCACAGCGTCTCGCTCAATACTCGAACGGAGCCCCAACCCGTAACCACATTCGTCAAAGCGTTTGCTCCCGCCACCGTCGCCAATCTCGGTCCCGGCTTCGACTTTCTAGGTTGCGCCGTCGACGGGATGGGGGACATTGTCTCCGTCAGGGTCGACCCACAGGTTCACCCGGGCGAGATACGCATCTCCGACATCACCGGCCACGCTCCCGACAAGCTTATCAAAAACCCTCTATGGAACTGCGCTGGCATCGCCGCCATCGAAGTCATGAAAATGCTCTCCATTCGATCCGTCGGCCTCTCGCTCTCCCTGCAGAAGGGCCTGCCTTTGGGAAGCGGTCTGGGATCGAGCGCCGCCAGCGCCGCCGCTGCGGCCGTGGCGGTGAACGAGATGTTTGGGAAGAGATTGAGCGTGGAGGATCTTGTTGTGGCGTCGTTGAAATCGGAAGAGAAGGTTTCTGGGTATCACGCGGACAACGTGGCCCCATCGATCATGGTGGGTTTCGTGCTGATTCAGAGCTACGAGCCGCTGCAGTTGATAGAGCTAATGTTTCCTGCGGAGAAGGAGCTGTATTTCGTGCTGGTGAGTCCTGAATTTGAAGCCCCGACGAAGAAGATGCGGGCAGCGCTCCCCAGCGAGATTGGGATGGCGCACCACGTTTGGAATTGCAGCCAGGCTGGCGCTCTGGTGGCGGCGGTGTTGAAGGGTGACGTGGTTGGTTTGGGGAAGGCTTTGTCCTCTGACAAGATCGTTGAGCCCCGGCGTGCCCCCTTAATTCCCGGCATTGAGGCTGTTAAGAAGGCTGCCCTTCAGGCTGGGGCCTTTGGCTGTACCATCAGTGGCGCTGGCCCCACCGCCGTTGCCGTCATCGATGATGAGTCTACCGGACATGCCATTGCCCAACACATGATTCAAGCCTTTCTCAGCCACGGCAATTTGAAGGCTTCTGCAAAAGTCTTGCAGCTCGATCGCCTTGGTGCTAGACGCATTCTAGATTGACTTCTATCTCAGTGCCTTCCTTCTAATGGTACCTTCTCTTCTCTTCCCTCCTCCACTGTTTGATCACCCTAATAACATTTCATATCTCACATACATTTTTCATCATTGCTTCTGTTACTCTCTGACTCCACCATTTTACCGTAATGCTTCTTACATCCTTTTGCGTTTTTGGACTACTTCCTTGCACAAATTGTTCTGTTTTGATGAATCACTCTACTGACTCTCTTTGTCAAAGAAAAAACTGTTGCCATGTTCTTGCCATGTCTCAACTCTCCACTTTTCTCCTTCGCATCAGAAACTTGAATGGTATTATATAAAATGAAGACCTTTTTCAGATCAGATTATTGTTGATCTATTTTGCCTCTGTACATTCATATACATCATTAATTGTGTCAGCACAAGTCCACTCGCATTTTGTTCCCAACCCCACAGTTTCTGTTCTAAGTTTCTTGAAATTGTTGTGATATTCTGATTAAATCTTGAGTTTAGAATTTTGGTCAGGTTTTGAATTGCGTATCCTTTTTAAATGCATCCATGACTGAAATTCCATAGAATCTTTCTCGGCTTTTGTTATTTGTAGCCAGTGGCGCTGAATGAATTGTTTCATAACTTAATATGCTTACCAGAATCTAGAAGATTTCAAAAATTGGATTTCTTTCACTTCCCCGGGACACAACTAGTGCTGGCTCATAAGTGTATCTGATAAAGGAAAAGCAGCAGTCTGGTGTGGAGGTCTAAATAAAAAGAGAAACATAAACCATGGGAGCTGCTGCATTTGGGTGGCGATAATTTAAATACATGAATAATTATGAAAGAACTAGATCAGGTCAGTGTTATGGCGAGCCCAAAGGTAGGTTTTAGGTTTTCTTTGATTATGTTTTCTTTTTCTACTCGCTACTTGGAACCTTTTTGTCTTTCTAGTTACTCCTGGTTTCATTGTGTTAATCTTGCTTTTCAGTAGCATGTAAAATGTTTTTCACTAATTGTTCTGTAGTACTTATATTTGTCATTTCAATGTCAATTTTCCCTTTTTCCTAGTTAAATCTAAGAAAAATGCATTGAGACTTTATCACGGTTTTAGGATCTAGTTTCCATAGGATGTGTATCCTTGCTCGTCGAAGGATTGTTTTAGGATGAACTGAAGTGCCGTGCCTGTTTAACTTTTCTTGTAAAATCCAATCTTTAACTAATTTTACTTGTTATAAAATAAATTGTTAAACCCTCTAAGATCATCTTTTAAAGAATAAGTAGTAATCACATTAATCATTTAAAATATTTTGCTGCTAAATTAGACTTTACAAAATTATAATTTATTGATAGGGATGGGAATAAGGCATGTAATGGTTTGAGTATCAGTTTTCATCTATAAAATAAAAGTTAATTTACATCTTTACATGTAAGAAGTATAAACTTTGTTTCCACGGGAAGTAGGTATACTAGTACTTGCACCTCGATTCTTTTAATCTAAATTATTAATTAAATTATTTTTGTACCAAAAAAAATTTACAGTAATAAACATAATTTTTTTAAAATCAATAAAAATATTTTTTTTTCTTGTCAAATATAAAATTATAATTATATAAAATAAAAGAATAAAAAATAATTACTCATCTCTAAGTACTACATCCAAAAACAGTTATTAAGTTTATTACATATAAATTTAAAATCTAATTTTACTCGTTTTTTCAAATGGATAAGTTGATTACAAATTTTTATGCTATTTTAATTTTTTTAAGAAATAAATTATTTAAAAAATGAAAGAAGTAAGG